TACCTTGGTGACCTCAGACCTGTGGACGGAGGCGTGCTGGTGGATGTGAGAAGGTCTTTGAAGTAGTCCCTCCATTGCCTGACAACATCACTGGTGATTTTATTATTTTAAATAATAGAAATCACAGCATGAACCGCCAAATTATACGTGTTAAAAGTCTACTTCTGAGATTGCAACAGGAGGTTGGCTTGAAACAAAGCACTGAAGGTTACCTACTGGACAGATCTGGTTGGCAGGCCGTAGACTGACAAAGTCCTCTGGATGGGGGACGAAACGTTTCTTCACTTAAAAAAAACTGGTCCAGGTTAAATGATTTAACCTTTTTTGTTAATAATTATTGTAGTTATTGGGTGGTGCAGAGGTTGGAGGAGGAGAGCCTGTGATCAGGAAGTCACAGATTCAAATCCCAAGACCGGCACATAAAATTTGGGTGGGAAAGCTGAAGCACCCACGTCTGCCTCCACCCTCATTTGCCCTTGAGCAAGGCCCTTAAAGCCCTCTGCTCCACGTGTGCTCACATTATAGGAAAAATACAGCGTAATAATTAACAGAGTATAAAAATGGATAAAATATAGAACAACTCCTGCACCTCATCATCAGTGTAGTGCATCCATCTTAGATAATAAAACAGTAAAAATTAAAAATAGGAAGAACTTTTTCATGGTTTTGCCTTTTAAATAAATGTTTTTGCAACACCAACGGTCTACTTGTGCTTTTCTTCACCCAACTGATCAGGGATCTGGTTTTATTTTCACTCACGTGAAGCTCCAGTCAGAATATATCGACAATATGTTTAAGGAGTTTGTTGTGAGTGAAAGGTTTTTAGGTTCATTAAATGTCTAGATAATTAGGTTACAGAGCAGCAGTGTACTCCAGTATTGAATTTCCTCCCTCCTGCTCCTTCTGTTTGTTTATCTCCTTACACAAGAAAAGAATGCATCCGTAAAGTGTTTGTCTTGGTGGATGGGTTGAGTTATAACTCCTTTTAAACCTGATGAATCAAAATAACAGGATAAAGATTTCCCCTCTTTACCAACTCTGCTTCCTAAACGCTGCCGTGTTCCTCGTCTGCTGCAGAGACCAGAACCAATTTTCCTTCTCCTGTGAGAAAACACAAATCTGTCGCACAACTAATACACCACTCAACGAGTCATTATCACTGAGTGCTCAATTCGTCCATCTGTTCGGCTGCACAAATTACACATCTGCTGGCTGCGGACAGCCCACTGTGATGTGCAGTTTGTGTAGTTAACAGAGCAATAACATGTTTACAGATTTAACTTTTTTAGATTTTTCTACCTGGATTATTGAGGATGCATCAGTATAGCATGTTGTGTTGCACAACAGGGCAACATGCCACAGCAACGTGTCCAGGATGAACGCTGGAGTCATAAACTGCTCTCCATGGCCATGAATAAGTGAGTAAAGGAAAGGAATAAATAAATGGATATACAGTGTTATATATATATATATATATATATATATATATATATACATATATATATATATATATACATATATATATATAT